ATTATACTACACTGTGGTGCAGAAACCGCTTTTGCTTTTTTCCTTTTCCGGCCGTCAAAAAATTAAAAAAAAAAAAAACAAAGATGGCAGATAAATGCACTCCTGGTGCTGTAAAAGCGGCAATAGTTACGCTCCAAAGGTATATGTATGTATGTAAAGTTTACAAATATATTTTCAATTTTGCACGAAAAAATGTTTTTTCTACAATTTGTTGAAAATAATGAATAAAATCTCTCAATTTTCCATAGCTGTTTCATAAATACAGTCGAAAGCGATTAATTGCAACATCATACTTCCGATATTTCAAAAAACTTCTAGTGAATAATGCCGAATTTCCACTAGGCATTTAAATGACAAAAAAAAACTACCTCCGAAAAAAACAAACAAACAAACTTAAAGCTTTCGTATTAATCAAGCAGACTTGTCAATTAACCGATTTCGACTGTTTTTTGAAAAATAATTCCACAATTTTAGTGAACTGGATAGTATTTTTGATGCTTTTTGATAATAAAACTTTCATAATTTTTTCTCGTCGACTTCTTTCAATCCTGTAACCTTATATATGTATGTATACATTTCGGCACATTTTTCATTATCTTTTAATTTTCACAATAATTTCATCTGCATAATACACAACAATCGAATATCAGCAAAGCAATTGCCATTAATTTTAAGAAATCCATCAATATTATTTATAAAAAAACAACCATTTATTCCAAAAATTTATACCAGCGATTATCATTTGTATTGAAAATCAAACAAATTTCGTGGAAAATATTTCGAAACATAATTAAGTGTTCAATATAAAACACGTCTGAAAATCGCATCGGAAAAGCTCAAAGGGATTAACGAAACAAATTTCGAAACTAAACATGCCCTAACATAGAAAAGATATGTTGGGCAACAAAAAAAACATAGGTCATTAGTGCGAAAGAAAAACTAAACAAACAAGATAAAGTGAAATAAATTTAAAAAAATAATAAAATGTTACAACATGCGCGTATTTTTCCGTAATTTTTTTGCGCGTAGTGTTTACACTGTAAGAAAAAAGTTCAAAGGCCGCGACTCATTTCGTCGGCAGGTGAGTTTCAAAGTTTGACAAATCAAAGAAAAGCGCATGAAAGTATGATGCAAGAAATGCAAATAAAGCGAAAAGGAAACGACGAGATTTAATTGAAGAAACAGGGAGTGAGTAAATTAAATCGGGCTAAGCTTAGGGATTCATGGCCGACGTAATGAAAAATAAAAATGAATATGCGAATAAAAATTCCTACAAAAAAAAAATTTAAACAACAAACGAATGTCGAATTTGCACTGGACATGAAATGACAAAAATTTGAATGACAAAGTTCGGTATTTAAAAATACGAATGCCTTTGCACAAAAACAGTTACTATAATTGAATTCTTTTTCATATGGCATTTTTAAATTGCAAAGCTTGTCATTTCAATGCCTAGTGGAAATTCGGCACAAGCATTTTTACTAATCAAAAATATTAAAAATTTAAAACACCAACGCGTAAATATAAACAACTCCATCTTGTTAAAACAAAACAGCCAGCGTTTAATTTTGTTTTTTGTTTTCCTTTTTTGTTTTATGTTTTTGTTTAGACCGTTATTTCTTTAATGTAACAGTCATGTTTCGCTGCATTCGTACAACTTGCTGCACCTTTTGCAGGTGCTTGGACACATGCAAACTGGCTTTTCTATATACATCATAGTACACATTTATCAACTGCAAATGGCTTGAAATCCCTACAGCTTTTCCGATACGTTTTTTTTTTTATTTCTGAATGGAACGCGTGCGTGTGAACAATTATTAATGTGTTGCTAAATTTTTTCACAGCAAAATGAAATTCCTTTCCGTATTTGTTTGCTTTTTCGTTGCATTATACATTCATACAAAAATCAAGTGAAGAAAACACATACACACATGCATATGTACATATAAACGTAATCATAAGAAAAGAAATGAAAACTAAAAAAAATGACTCATTAAAAATTCGTTTATTTAAATTTAATTTACGTGGTTTAGTTAACTGTTCCTATGCTGAATTTTCACTAAGCAATAAATAAAAAGCAATTAGTTGAAAAAATTTGTGTAAATTCAATGTCTAGTGGAAATTGAGCATTATGCCGATAATAATGCTGGATATGCAATCGGCTTTAATTGACACAGTTAGGGACTAAAAAAATCTCGTGTCATTGCGTTAATATAAATAGTTATTGAATTCGTTTCCACCGAGCATTATTTTAAATATATAAATTTTTTGTCATTTCAATGCCCAGTGCAAATTCGGCATAATTATAGGAATTGGAACAGGAAATGTATTCCATTTAAAAAATTTTATTTTATTTTTTGTTAATTTCATCACAATTTTCCTTCATTGAAAACCCGGCATTAGTAGATACAGTTTCAATTTTTAATTTTATTTTTTAAACCGCGTTAATATTTCTCTTTAAGCAATTCAAACAAATATTAAATTGAACTCTTTTTAACTTTTAAGTAAAATGCAGTATTTTGAAAACCATTTAAAGTCAAATATTTAAAAAAAGGCTAACTTACACTAAACGAAGTGATTTTTAAGTAAGGAGTCTTTTTTCAAAGAAAAAACCCAGACATTTTTTCCAACTTACGTCATGTCTTTATGTGTGTGTGTGTATCAGTTGCTTCACCTTGATCTCTCACTTTGCCCCCAACCCCAAACGATCAACACTTTCTTACCAACCTCCACCATAACTTCTATATTTTAGATGGCAACGATAGCGACTGCGATGATCAAATGGACACCTCGTACATGGAACCCCAATTGATGTTGGATGAGTACGATGAGCCCGTCGAATTCAAATTCGATCCCAATGCCACCAGCTCACCATCACAACAGAATACCCCCAATGTTTTAGCCGCGCAAGCGCAACAACAACACGTAGAACGTCAACTATTACTCGCGCAACAAAAGAAACAACAATTGATCGAAGCTGCTGCCGCTACCGCTGCTGCCATGAAATTATCAGGCGAGGCAGGCGCTAGTGGCATGCCGAGTACCGTGACGCTGCTCAATTCAATGGTTAGCATACCGAAACTGACACCCATTGGCAAAGTGTCTAAGGTGAAAGTGAATAAGCGTACCAAATTGAAGCAGAATGGCGTTAGCGGAGCCGGTGGCAATATTACTGGCAACCTTACTACTACCGGCAACGATTCCAAGGTAAGTGTGTGTGGGTGGCAGCGGCAGTTTCGTATATTTTTTTATATATCCACTTTTCAGAATCTCTCGTGCGATTATATGGATATGTTCAATTCCAACTATATCGGCAACAATCCGAGTGCAGCTGCCGTAGCTGCCGCACAATTAAGTAAACTGAAAGGCGCTCTAAGCGGCAGTACAACCATCAGCTCCAGCGCCGCTGGTTCACCTCCGGCTAAAACCAAATTGAATACATCGGGTAGCGCTTTGCCCGAAGGCGAAGCGGAAGGTTCCGTCCGTGACTATTGTACCAAAGAGGGTGAGCATACCTACCGCTGTAAGGTATGCTCGCGCGTCTATACACACATCAGCAATTTTTGCCGCCACTATGTGACATCACATAAGCGCAATGTCAAAGTGTATCCCTGTCCCTTCTGTTACAAAGAGTTTACGCGCAAGGATAATATGACGGCGCACGTAAAAATCATACATAAAATTGAAAATCCCTCAACAGCGTTGGCAGCAGCCGCGGCAGGTGGTGTGACCACATCACCAGCACCACAATCGGCGGCGGTGTCGACAGCATCTACACCGACGCCACCCGATTTGGCGCCACAAAGCTCAAATCATTCGGCGACTGGTGTGTCAACAACAGTAGCATCGGCGGCATCTTCCACCTCGTCCTCGTCGACGTCATCGACAACATCGCTGGCATTGGGTGCGGGGCGTTTACCCGAAGCGACGGCGGCGGCGCAATAAGCCTATGCCTTAAGCACATTAGAGACTACTAAATTATAATTACATAAAAAAAAAGCTTAAAAAAAGAAACAGTTAGATGTTTAGCAACAACAATCTTGGGTGATTGGGTACACATACATATGTAGATACATACGTATAAATATGTATATTTCCATTTGTTTATTGCAAGGCAAGGTGTTATGTAAGTCCAGAAAGAGCAGAGTATTGGTAGGGAGTAGTGCGTCTAATTTACATTCACACATACACATATGCACCCTCACGCATACACACACGTACACGCATACACCCTACTAAACACAAAAAAAACCCTTTCATTAAAACGTAGTAAAGTTATAGGAATTAAAATACTTTACACTTTGAGGTTTGTCAAGGACAAAAAATGCAGGAAAAAGGCTTCCAAAATGCGCAAAAAGGTTTAAAGCAAAATGCTTTTTGTGCGCGTTTATTTTCGTTTTTTTTTTTGTTTTTTTTTAGAAAGAGAGCAGGGAGTGAAAACGTTCAAAACGTTATCCAAATGTTAGGATTCGCTGTTTCGCGCATATTTTCTTTAATATTAATTTTTAGCATCTTCGATATTCTTTTTGCAATTTCATTAAGTTTATTTGTTTCGTAATTTTAAATTATTTAATTCTTATTTTTTTTTGGATTTTCTTGCGTTTAGCCTAAAAACACAATGAATATATTATATTAAATTAAAAACGTATCAGCTTTTCAAAACATGTCCAAGAAATTCGGGAATTTACTATTTCTTATGCGAAAATGATTAAAACGCAAACAAATAGTTGTAAAAATGTTAATGCTAATAGTTTACAAAGTAGTGGAGTAATGGTGGAAGTGGGCGAAAACAAAACAAGTTTTGTCTGTGCACAACTAAGCTTTTTTTTTTATTTTTTTTTTTGTTATTTAGTAAAAAAATTTTGATACAAAAAAAAACGCAGACAGCAGAAAATTCGAGGCGTGACATAGAAAGTTCCGATACTTCTTTTCACAGTCAAGATTTCCTGGTTTCCGAATTTGTTTAGTTGGCTTCATAAAGCTGTCACGGATGGATATATTTTGGTCGTGCCTGATCTAAATATACATTTTTGTTATTTCAATAAAAGCTTCGTTTACTTTGGAGGCTTGAGAGAATATAATTTCCTAATAAATAATTTTGAGGTTAAAATTAAAAGCAAAATTGGCAAACTTTGTCTTGAAGATATATTATTATGCCGGGCTATTCATTTTCTACTCGAGTAAAGTAAAGTAAAAAACACAAAATTTTAAAATTTCTATCAAATTTCATTTAAAAATAAAATCTTTCGCACAATTCGGGCAATAACTCGACCATTACTTGGCGTATTTTGTCCTTCAATTGCTTCACAGTTATGTATTGTTCTTGCCGATCACCCAATGTTAAATGGCCTATTAGAATTGCGAGGTTATTTGCGAGGTATTTTAATTTTTTTTTTTTTTTTTTTTTTTGAATTCAAAACATTTTTTATGCATTTCTTCATTTATTTTATTTATTTATATTTCTCGTATTTTAACCATTATTTTTTTCTGAAATCTGAAAATTAAACTCAAACTTTTAGAATTTCTGGTATTCCTGTGCACAGCAAATTTTTTTTCTGCTTATTGCCCAACAGCTCCATATACTGTTTTTTGCTAAATATAAGTTGTGCAATTTTACGTTAATTTTTTTTTTTTATCTAAGTTGTATTGTTAGTTTTTTTTTTGCTAGTTTTTAGTTTGCTGAAAAGTAAAATTTTCAGAATGTAAATTAAAACCTCAAATGGCATTCTCGACCGCAAGTGGCCTTTTAGTTTAATAATACAAACATACATAATGTATAAGTTGGACCGTTTATTAGCGACAAAAAAAAAGTAGAAACAAAAAATATTTCTAACATATTCGCACGACGCTAACCGACTAACCGCACTTACACATACGTACATATACTGACCGACATACATATGATAAACACTATTTTACACACACTTAGTTAATTTTACGTGTTTTTTTATCGCTAAAATATTTACAAACAATATGAATTATTAAAAAATTAATATTAATTATTATATATATAAATAAAAACTGAAAGGATAATGAATATAACTACCTTGTTGCCTTCAAATGAAGCTAGTTTAATATTATTATTACACATAAATTTACTTACTTTGTAGGGTTAAAAAAAAAAAAAAAAAAACTAATTTAATTTTAAAATTTTATAAAAATAAAAATTATCTTATAACTGCGTATCCAATGAAAGCAGTTTTGTAATTTACGTTCATTTAAAATTAATTAAATATATTTATGTTTAGTACTTTAATTAACTATAAAATTTGATTTGATTTTATGCCGTTGATAAAATGTCGAAATGTGAGAAAATGCAATTATAAATGTATGTGAAAACAGCAATAAAAAACGTATAATTACAACAAGCAAGTTAAAAATTAAAAATATTAATTTATAAATGTTTATGAATTGCTTATGGATACATATAGAATATAAATCGGAGGCTTAAATTATCGCCAAAGAACTACAAAATACAATAACTATTAATATTTAAACATAATAAAATAATGTTATATGTATGTATATGTACACCTACATACACACATACACACAAATGTATGCGTAACAATCAGCTAATCGCTCATAATGTGACAATACCTTTTTTTTGCTGTTAAATACATAAAGACAGAGTGAGCCTAAGGCGACTCTTTAACTGAAAAGTGCACTTATAAACAAAATAAACCAGAAATTACATGCCTAATGCCGCATTTCCACTATAGGCATAGAAGTGACAACGAGACGTGCGTCATTTAAAAAATGACGCATGAAAAAGAACTTAATGATTATTTTTTATTAACCTGGAATGGAACGAGTATTTTTCAACGCATAACTTTGTCATTTAATTCCCAATCGAAATGCGGTATAACAAAAAATACATACCAATTTAAAAACAACAAAAACAAAAACGTTGCAATAAAAATGCGATACTTACAAAATAAAACATAAAACCAACTGAGCTCTTTATTTTAATATACATATGTAACTTAAAAATTCGTAATGGCAATAATAATCATAACTTAATAGGGCAAGCAATTTTAAAATTAAAAACTTCCAAAAAAAAACCATAAAGTAGATAACATAGTATAGCAAACGATCTCCAGCAAAAAAGAGTAGGAATTTCTTACTAAAAAACTTTTAACATTTTCCAATTTAGTGCGTGAAAATGTTCTAAAATTTAAATGTGTAATTTCCAAGGACCGTAACAGTTACAACTTTTATTTAAAAAAGCGCTCTTTAATAATTTTTTTTTGAATTTTATTTAATTACTTTTTAAATAACCGTTATTTCTAACTTTTGTTTTATAAATCCAAAATAATTATTTTTTATTTTTATCGAAATAATTGCAAGTAACATTTATTTTCGATTTTTAAATTATATGCCTCAGATAACAGTTATTGAAGACTTTTAAATATTAAAGTCATAAATAAAAATCAGTCACTGAGCTTTATTTTTTAAATCATACTTATAAAAGTCATTTGTACAAGTCGTAGTAAACTTTTGTTTCACAATACCTTTTTAACTACGAAAAATGTTAATGACTTTTATACATACAAATGATTTAAAAAATATATTGATGACTTTTAAAAATAAAAGCCACTGATTGATTTGTATTGATGACTTTTATAAATAAAAGTCCACAATAACTGTTGTCTAAAACATATAATATAATAATAAAAAAATAATTGTTATTTTTTTAATTTTGCATAAAAATTTATTTTAAAATTGTCAGTCTCGGTGAAAAAAAAAAAAAAAACATTGCCTTCATAGTGAATTTTCCATGGCAGTTTTCATCAATAACTGTTATGTTCGGTCCCTAGTAATTTCACATAAACATACATACATACATATTTTTTAGACAACCTTTCTTGTATAACATTCAACGCAGTAAAAAAGCAATTACATACACACACACATACTAGTAACACTCTGCATAGGAATTTTTGCGTGCAACTTTTGAACATTCTAAATACAAAACATGAAAAAATACAATAAAATACATTTAGTTTTTATTTATCTCTAATACAAACATATTTAATGTTTTACTACTATACATTATATTACTTTCTTCGTTTTTAGTGGTAGCTAGTGCAATTTAGTTTTTAATTTGATAACAAGTTAATTATTAATAATTACATACATATGTAGCCACAATCGCGAAAAAAACATAGCCGACATTTATTTTCAAAATGTTCTTTTTGATGCGGAAATGCATGTACATACATGCAATTTTTTATCAAAAACATTATTTCTAAAAAAATCGCTTACGTTATTTTTGCGGTTAAGGCTCTATGTAATAAAACAACAACAAAAAAATGAACAAAAAAAAAATACATAGTTACGAGTAAAAAATAAAACAACACCTCACAACGTCAGCTCCTTCAATGTTTAGAACCTATTTTTATCGCTATTTTGTAGCATATGTATACTACATACTCGTACATACATTTACATTGAAAAAAAAAAAATTAACTATTAATATTTTAATTAATAAAGAAGTTTTGTTGCACTAAAAAAAAGAAAAAACAAAGCATTTGAGTTTTAGTATCATTTTGGTTGGTTATATGAATAGGAGAAATTTCGTTGGATATTTTATATATGCGGACTTTTTTTAGCAAACTTATTTTAACTATTCTTCGTAAACTATTATACGAGGGTCATTAAAAAGTCCTTAGATATTCTTCGGTCTGAATTATTTATACACTTTTGCTTAGGATAAAAACAATTGATGAAGCATTTTGGCCGTAATGAAGTCGTCGAAGCTTAGAACTAAAAGAAAGCTGGTGCCAAATCAGGGCAGAGTGTTGCGCGAATTATTAAAGTTTCACGTTCATTGTGAATTACGAACAACGTTTTATCAATTGGGAAGTTGCATCAGTTCTGCAAATTTTAATCAGTGGTGCAGTATTGCCGCTTTTATTACGTGCCTTGGTACATTCCCTATTTGTCAATTTTCGTTGTTTTCCCTCCATTTGTCCAGGACTGCTGCCAAAAAAAATGCTGGTATGCCACTTAGAATGAACTGTTCTACGCTCCTCTAAGCCTAGGTTCCTCGTAAGTCTAAGGGCACTATAGCCACATGACCCGTTACTGCTAATAAATAAGCGACCAATTGTTTCGAGGGGTTTCTTGCGCGAAAAAATTTGTTTTTTTTTTCTTACGTTGAAAGATCCACATAGCTGATTGGCCTTTTCCTGGGTCTGGGATTGGCTTGGTCCTG